GTAAAGCCCAGTACAGCATCCCCCGCACTGTCACAAAAGCACAAGCACAAAAAGGGGACGAGCCCTGCTGGAGCAGTTCCTTTCGTGCTGGCGCAAGACCCCTGTCAAAGTCCACTTCTGAAAGACATTTAATGTCACTACTACTGTCCGAGCCAATTCACCCTTCCTAGGCAGGAAGGGACCCTGCAGGCTGGACAGGCACCTTGCACATTCCTGCTCCCAGCAGAGTTCCCCGGTCAGAACACGAGAGGTAGCCCTGGGATGCGCAGACACTGCAGGATCACGCTCGCTCCATGCAGCCAGATGCACAGAGAGCTCCTGCAGCTCCTGGCGCTGGGACCGGCAAACACGGAGCTCCCAGCTCAGCCCTGCAGCACAGGGATCAGCGCTCGCGGGACCGCTGGCTGTTCGCCTAGGCTGGACGAGCAGACAGAAACCCGGTGCCAAGTTATCCCATCCTCTGGTGGAGGGAGCAGAGGGGCTACCAGCCGAGCCTGGGAGGAAAAAAACTTCCTCGGTTGTTTGTAGCTTGGAAGCCGGAGAGGGAAGAGGCTCCCGGGAGCGGGACTCCTCCAGAGCTGTCAGCGCTCCGGACGGGCGCTCTGCCTGCAGGAAGCGCCTCGGGAGCAGCCAGCAGCCCCTGGCCCGCAGCCCCGACCCCCCTATGTGCGGCCATGGGCAGCGGCTGCGGCGGCGGGTCGGGGAGCCCGAGCCGGCGGCCAGAGGGCGGCGGGGACGGAGCCGGTGCCTCTCGCCCGCCCCACGGGGTCACCGCTCCTATCCCCCCCATCCCAGACTTTACTTATAAATAGCCTGAGCCGATTAGCGCGGCTCGGGGGGGAAAGCGGGGAAGACCCGGCGCAAAGGGGACTTACATCCTCCGCGGCCATGGGCAGGACATCCTCGGAGCCCAGCACCTCGATTTCCTCCGCTGCGGAGCTGGCGGCCACAGCAGGGGAAGAGCCGGCGTGAGGCTCCGGCAGCCTCTCTCCCATGCTTGGAGACGGTCCCCCCCCAGCGCCCGCCTCTCCCCCCTCCCCAGATCCTTGCAGAAATTAAAGCGAGCTGCTGCCTGGCAAACTTTCAAGCGGCGCCGAGCGGGGCTGCTCCGCGCAGGGCACGGCCGCGGCGCGGGGGCAGCGCCGGCGGGCGCGGGGCACGGGCCCCCCCACGCACAGACACATCCCTCCCTCCCTCCCTCCACCGGCTCCCGGGTCGCCTCCCGCCGCCGGGCAGAGCCCCCCGGCCGGGCCCGGCGCCTCCCCCGCGGCGGGCGGCGGGGACACGGCGGAGCTGCGGCGGGAGCCCCGCCGCCCCCGGACCCCTTTCCGAGCGGCGCGGACAGGTGCCCCCTGCACCGGCTGCTCTTGGGGAAATGGAGCTTCTGCCCCGTGGAGAGCTGCCCTGCACCTGGAGCCCGGGATAGGAACTCAAGAAGCCCCGAAAGAAAGGCAGAATTCAGCAGTTTTAGCTCTTCCGAGCAAGCCCAGAAGCGGCAGGGAGGGTAAGTGCAGGCTCCGGCACCAGGGCCGAGAGCCCCACGTGCCTCCAGGCACCCTGCCCTAACCCCAGCCCAGCAGCGCCTCAGCCGCAAGGACAGAGCTGAGCTGAATTCCCACAAACGTGGGAAAAAACCAAGTTGACAGATCCCTTCTGGAAGAGGGAAGGATCCTAGACATACACCTAGAGCAGCACAAGAACACTCAGCAGGGGCCGTTTTCTTTCCTGGCCCCAGTTCCCGGGAGCTCCGCATTGCTCATCTGCGTTGGTCTGGGTCAGGTTTGTCTCGCACAGCGCTGGCAAATTGGGCCAGCCACGCTCCAAGCTCCTTGGCAAAACCTCTGGGAAGCAGCAGCAAAGCTGGCAGCATCTTTAAGATACAGACCCCAGCAGACGGGCTGCAACCACTGTCACCACCAGCACTAGCCTCTTAGATGGTAAAAACACTTAAAGGGGATCGAGGCCAACATCTTTGCACATGCTCATGTTAACTACACTTACCTATGGGCATGTATCCACATCCCAACATCTCGTACTGCCTCTAACTTAAGGTTCAGACCAAGGGCTCAAGTATCATCCCACGCAGCAGCCAAGAAAACAGCTATTATAAAGACAAGTTATTTTTGATTAAAAACAAACCTCATCGAAACTTCAAACAAAACAGATGGATAAGCAAAAATATGCTATGACAACAGAAAGAAACAGCAATTATTTAAAGATGTCCTTAGGGAGAAGAGCTTTTAAAGTAAAGAGAGAATGAATGAGCTAAACTCCAGGGGCTACAGGTTCCACACAGCTGGGGACTGCCGTGTCAAGAGTTCAATATCCCTTCTGATCCCAGGTGCCACAAGGGAAATACTAACCACAAAATCTAACATGAATGCAATAAACATCAGCAAGAGTCCTGAAAAATCTTACCTTACTACCAAACTCCCATTATACTGAAAAACTGCTGCAGAATTATACATCCATTTTGCTTCTTTAAGGAATCTTTTTCACTAGTGATAGCAAAAAGCTTTTCTTTTCCCCCCTCCTCTCAGGGAATATCTCTGTGCATTGCACATATGAGCTACTGCTGTGCTATAATTGTCACAGAAAGGAAATTAACAGGATTCTAATGAGGAGTTTTGTTGCAGACAAGTTATCATCCTCCAACTCTGAAAGCCTCTTAATTTAGACTCTCATTTCTCCCCACTGCAAACGCTGGTAACTCTACCTTGATAACTGCGAGAAAAACAGGGATCTGAGGGCCACCACAGAGCAGACCAAGCACAGATGGACTTCAGAAGCAACTTGAAGAGGAAAAACTTGAGATAATAAACCCCAATCCATCTTCACATTCATTCACGTAGGCAACCTTTTTTATGCCTGCAAAGAAAATAGAGCTATAGGTCCTTCCTGCATGGGAAGTGGCTGAAAAGGTCAGCTCATGAATTTGCAACAAGAAGCCCTCAGAGTAGGGACCCAGCCAACATCTGCCACCCAAACCTCCTGGAGCAAATCACAGCAGTTCACTCATGGATCCTTTTTTCCCCACAGGGCTTTTACAACCCTGCCCAGCTTTCACAATTGGAAAATTAAATGGAGTAACCTTCATCAGGGCCCGAGTGCAGCATCAGAGCTCAGACAGAGCGCCAACCTGGGAAGGCAACAACTTGGAACCAAAACGGAAACCTAAAGCACTGCACGCAAACATAACCCTAATAAGTTAGACTGCAAAAAAAGACTGGGTCATGTCCTTCCAACTATACTCTTAGGGAAGAAAAAAAAAAAAAAAAAAAAAAAAAGAAAACTTTAAAGACCACAGAGCTTAGAGCATTGTACCCAAGTGGCAGCAGTGGTAAAGAGCTCTTTCAGTAACATTAATGAGCTTTGTGACTAGAACAATATAGGCTCACATTTTAGTATTACCATGAAACAGACTATATGTGCTACTTTCAGCTTCTCCCTGATTCATGAATCCTTTCCCTCTTGCAGAGAAGTCAATGCTTTACCTTCTAAAGAAGAGAAATAGTAGGAGAAAATAAGATACAATCTCTTGTCTGACTTCCAATCTGTGTTGAAGAACTGTTGCCTTGATCCTCCATATTCCCCCACATTACACTAGCAACTTTTTCAAGCCCCACACTAAAAAGTTTCCAGCACAGACTCTTTATTTCCACCTGCTGCTCTGTTCTGCCCAGTAGCTGTTAGTGGCAGCAGCTGATTCGAATAATCTCTTTGGGCCTAGCTAGGGAGGATAATTAAATCCCCCATTAACCCTTTATTGGACAGTTAGAGAGCATAAGGGAGAGTATCAGGTCAATCCTATATGGCTTAAGGGGAGTCTCTGCTCTTTTTTAATGGTCACCTGGTGGGATCACAGCACACATTGGTAGATTCATTCCAAATTAAAAGAGTTGTTTGAAATTGAGACCCATTAATAACTCAAGGTTAATTTCCAACATAAAACCAAGTCATGCTTGCAATTAATCCTGGACTGACAAGTTTCCAGACAGGAGGTCAAAACTGAGGGGTGAGGGATCTCCCAAGGGAGCTGAAACAAGTTCTCTGTCCTCTCAGTGACTTTGCAGCAGGGCCAGGCAATCCACACATTGGAATGTACAGGATGAGAAGATGCAGTCTGGTTTTGTAAAACAGAGATAAGAATTTGTTAGGAAACAGTGACCGTGTCAGGGGAAAGGACAAATTAGGCTACTGTTGGGAGGGAGTGAATACAGAATTGACTGAACTGCTGTTCCTCTTCCCCACCAACTGGTCCCCAAATACAGCAGCACACCTTTTAGTTCTTACTTTGCATGCTCTATGGGTAGATTCCTTTTCTCTCACAGTGACTTATTATCCTCGCAGCACCCAGGAGCTCTTGGCTAGTGACACACTGAGGTTTGTAACTCTCGCCTTGGTGGCAGAATTATGCAGATTTTCACAGAGAACCTAAGGCACCTGCTCAAATGCAGCAACAGCAGTTCTAGCTATCAAGACTCCTGTGTTCTCTTCCAAGTCTTTAGTCTAAGCAATGTCCTCTCCCTAAGCCGATGAAGGTGTCCAGGTTACATAGCAAACTACCCTGTTCTTCATCTACACACTGGCCCTTGAGTCCTTCTCCAGTGACACGATTGCTTGTCCGCTCATTTGGAATGTAACAAAAGGTTTTATTTCATATAAAGTACTCAGACTTGTACTGTGCCTGTCCCTAGGATGACATTTCAGTTCCAGTTACTAAGGAGATCTGTTCATTAGAAATCTAGGTAAGGCTTTTTTTTAAAGTCCTCTCACTGTTCACCGGCTCCGAGTTCCTCCCATCATTCTCCTGTTGCTCAATTATAATGGCACAGTAACCCCTTTACTTTTATTGATTTTCAAGGAATGAGAATGGATTTTACTAAATTCCTTTCAATATTATAATGTAGTCTGCCACTGAAACCCTTTAAAGACATACAGGAAGAGTTTAAGATATTGCTATCCCAAATATGCACCTGACTATGTTACCATCAGGAAAAAATAGATGGTTTTAAACAAGTTAGAGTTAAAAGGGAAAGAAACTTTCTGAGTTTCTGTGCTTGAAATAATATGCTTATAAGAAAGGAAATAATTTCTTTTTATAACCTGTGAAATATTCATGACTGAATTAGTATTAAGGCTTTAAATAAAATTTTCCAGAGTACTTAAAGGAATCAAAGCTAACCAGGATTTATCTCCTGTGAAGATAAGGATCTCACAAGCCACTCTCAAAAGCAGGACTTGGGCTCCTAAGTCACTGGGGTGTCCTTAAACTTTACTAAACAGCTGTGCAGACTATAACTGGTAGGTATTGCCAAGCAAATCGCCCCAGAAAGTCAAGTGATCCCTCTTGTCTTGTTGAAAGCTCCCAGCTCATGGCTTACCAAGACCATGTCCAAGTATTTAGTTTAGTATTAGAATGGGAAAACCTCATGCAGCAGCTGGACTGCAGCAGGTCGTGGTCTACAGATCCTTCACCAACTTAGTGCTGGAGGAAAGACAGACAAGAACTTGGTGCATATTAATAAGAAATGAGATACACTTCACTTGTGCTGTAACAGGGGAGACTTTGTGAGCTTCAGGAAACGTTTGGCTGCAAGAGGAGGCTGAGGGGAATTCATTGCCTACTGGCAGGAGCAGCACTGGTGTTATCAAATTCACAGGAGGCTCCAGGATCGGGAAATCCAAGGGCTTGGTGGGAAGCCGCAGGGTATATTGTGTTTCATGCACTGATTGCCGCACAGAGGTACGTCAAGCGCACTACACATCAAGCTCTACTGGCAGAAGTGACACTGTGAGCCACTGGTTTCTGCACAGACTGACCAAGCCATGACCTGGGCAACTGCACAGCATGAGCTGCCATCATCCTGTGGTTTCCCATGGGTCACTGTATCTAGAGACAATACCAAAACCTTCAAACGAATGTCAGTATCTACCTGATACAGTTAAAATGGCCAGACTCTAATTGCTCCAAGAATAGCACTCTGTGCATACT